TTGAAGGCCATCGCTTGTATAGGTTGAAGGCCATCGCTTGTAGGTTGTGGTCCTTAGCTTTACTTCCAGGTTTCCAACTTGGGTACCTCCGCCTCCATGGACCGTCCAGAGGACAAACTCTCAAGGCTCCAGCTCCACGCGAAGCCTCGGAGAGACCAGCTCCCCGAGATGAGCACGAGGGCACGAAGAAACGAGACATGCAAGGTGAAAGGAGCTTTAAGGTGACTATATGTAACGCTCAATAAATCATAATTAACAAATCAATTTTAGGCTCCTACAGTATCATACAACCTCTACAATCTACAATTCCCAGCAACATATTGTAAGTATAGGCTCTGCAATGGCGAGAACAAACATGTCTCCATGTTCACACATATCACATCGTGGCACAAACCTCACACATTTCACAGCCACCTAGTTGGGTTCTTTGCTCAACTTTTCGCTCTCAATCCCAATGCTTTCAGTTGTTTTTTAAATGTTTTTTGCTGTTTTTATCCTTCGTGCGACTTTCTTCAGATGCACTGGGCTTGGCCTCCCAGCTTGCACTTATGAAGTTGCCCGTCCGACTCCACAAACGAAGCCTCGACCTCGGGCGGGAGGCCACCCTGAAACATCAGAAACGCGACACAAACGATGCTCCAAACATCTGGAAATTCGGATTTTGGCCACTTGTATGGTTTGACAGTGCAATTCTTGAAGCACAGCCAGCATGGCCAAATCCCAAATGTTAAACATTTTGTGCGCAGCCTTCCTACTTGTAGGCAACTTAAAGCGTGACACCTTGCCACCATTGACTTCTCTAGTGGCTTCTGTCAGCGTCGCAGTCTGTCAGCGGCTTCGGCTTCTTTTTCAGGCAAGCGAGACGAAATCAATCGTCGGTGCCATGCACCTGTGTCGGTCGTCCATGGGGAAGTCCTTCCTACTTTTGACATGTTCTGCACACAATGAAGCCTTTGACAAACAGTGAAGCTTTGACAACTGAGCAACAAAACTCCCAAGAGTTGAACGTTGTCATGTCGGCCTTGGCTCGAAAACGAAGCCGTCACATGGTCGACCTAAGCTGCAAGCTTTCTCATCTCACAAGGGACAATGTAGATGTGCTTGTTTGTGAGCACTCACATGTCTTATTTCATCATAGCATATCACAGCCGCATGTGCATGTTAGATCAATCATGCAGCATCTCAAATGAGAAAATGTATGCGGGTGAACCTATTGGAGCTCAAACAGCATATTGATTTCTCGTGTCTGCTCTTTTGTTTTTTTTGGGGGGTTGAGGGCGCATTCCATCAAAACGAGGGACCAAGGTTGATCCACCAAAACATGGAAGGTGCATTGCACCCAAATGAATGACTCAAGCATTTCACAGAAGCCAAAGTGCAACCAAAGGACATGGAGAGGGTTCTGCCTTTCTTGGCACATGAGAAAAGGACAACATCTATCGTCAAAGGAAGCCATTGGGGATAGTCATATATAATCCATTCCTCACATGATTGACGGTGCTCTCACTTTGCCTCTGCGGCATGCACCCACTGAGGCTGATGCTCCTCAGCTTCAGGATGAGCCACCTGACATGCTGCGATCCTTGCCTCAATCCACCATGAATTTCTATGTGATACGGAGGTTTCTCCTTCTGAGTCTAGGTAGTGAATGGCCGATTTGCCTCGTCACATGCGTTTTCCTTACAAGTAGCTGGACCTCCACACCAGCTAGGCATACCTAGCATAGACTTGTAAGTCTACCGTGCACGCGCAGATCAGCTGCCTTGATCACAAGACCACGCTCTCTTGCAGGGGCAGCCACCTTGGAGAAAACATGTAGTTGAAAAAAAGGTTCAAGCTTCAACTGATCAGGCAAGTTGGAGCTTCAAGTGTAAGTGTATATAAGTGTGTCAAAATGGTTCCCATGTACGAGCAAACCAAATAAACAAATAACCTATCACAGGCACCACCTAATCAACAAATGAGATTGTACATTGTAGCTTCCACAAGCTGCACGCCTGCATCCCCCAATTCACCTACGAGTGCTAGCTTAAAACAGCTGGATCGAATGTCGCAAGATCAAAGTTTCTCAACCAACATGGTGGCCCCACTCCAAAGCTTGTCAAGGACAGATCGCTGTCTCCCAATGGAAGCATCTCTATCTCTAGGAGAGCCCAAGCTCTTAGGCCCAAATCCAGGCGCCACACCGTCACGCTTGGTCCTTTGGCCCCTCCCTTTTGGCCCTGCACTCACTCGTGTGACATCATACTGAAAGCGAATCAACAGCATCAAGGAAGACATCGGAAATGAACACCTACATAATAATACCATGTATATATATATATATATATGGTACCCCCCAAAAAATACCTATGTTCACCTCACTTTTGCTGGTATTTGCAATATTTTGTGTCTATTCTTGGAGGCCTTTTGGACCTTGGTTTTTGGGGTACCATATATATATATATTGTGCAGGTAGGTTGGTTTCATAACTTGTTTGTCCAGAGATTCTAAATTCCGGCATGTTAAATAACTTTGGAAGGAATGCATTCAGAATGCATTCAAGATCCAAGATTCCCACAAGACTCCTGGCTAAAATCTTGGATTGATACAGTGATAAGGATGTTCTGGCAAATCCCAAATCCAAGATTGTCCACAAGACTTCTGTGCAAATCTTGGATCTTGAATCTTGGTTTTGGGAAGGAATGCATTCTCTGGCATGCTCTGGTAGTGACAAAATTGCACTATATAAGTACATTTTGATCCTGGAATATTACTGATTACCGACATTTGTTTCTCATTCAATTCTAATTAACAACTAATTCAACTCAAATTTACTTCTATGAATTTTAGTGCACATACAATATAACTAGATTCTAAGTCAATTCTTATTCTAATTTAAAATCACTTCTATATATTTCTATTTAAATTTCTAAGTTGAGTCTAATTGACTTTAAATTGCTTCTAATTTGAGTATGTAACATAGTTCTACATTAAGCGTAAGTTGAGCCTAATTGAATTCTAATTATAGACATATTTCAGCTTAATATCATTGTATAGACAAATTCTAATGCAGTATTTATTCTAATTTATTTATGTCTGTTTTAATTCTAATTATGTTTGGCTATTTTAGATCTAATTGAATTCCCACTTGAATCTAAATTTAAATCTGCAACCTGCTTCTAACTTAAAAATATAATGATCCTAATTGAACTTTATATAATTGACATCAAATTGAGATTGCAAATTAGATCTAGTTCAATTCTACAGTAATTGAACTTAGATTCCAATTTAATTCTAAGTCCATACTGTTCTACTAACCAAGCTCTAGGTAAAACAACTCTAATTCAATTCTACCTTAGTTCTAAGTCAATTTCAATTTAAGTAATGTATTCTTATTCAATGTGTTTCATTCAATGTGTAGAATTGAATTCCAGTCTACTTCTAATTTAGTTCTATTTCATTCTATTTTGGATTCAATTGTAACTTTGACTATTCCAATTTACTGGTAATTAATTTCAATTGTTAATGCCTTTATACAGTTCAGATTCAATTGTTTTACACATCTAATTTTACACTATCGTCATTGCAAATTATGTTTGGTTTCTATATGTCTAATTTAATCCTATATTGATTCTAGTTCAATGCACATGGAATTCTAATTCAGTTTTGGTGTCATTCTAGAGAGTGGGCGTTGCTGGTGGTGAATTTAATTCATTTAAGAAAGCAAATGCTTCTATATTGGAAAAACTACATAAAATCTCTCATGTTCAAAGTAACACCACTTCTCTAGAAGTAAATGCTAGTTTCACTCAAATTAAAACTAAATAGAAAAATAATACACTATTAGAATTGAATCTGACTTGTATAGCATTGAAGTTAAAATTAGCTTGAAATCAACTTAAAATTAGGCTTGCATTGCATCCCAAGTAAGTTAGAATCTATAGCGATAGACATTTGAATCAACGTAGAATTTACAAATAAACTAAATAAACTCAAATTTGAAGTTGAATATACGGAGTAGAGTTGAATAGATTGAAATTTAAATCTAAGTTTAGTTATATTTAGGGTTTGCAATTCTTTGCCTTCTGATTATGATGTACTTGCTCAACTGCATTCAATAAGAGCAGTACAATTCACACCCTAGAAGCAAGACATATGTTTTTGCATGGGGGTTGCATGGAATTATATAGATTACTACATCCAAGAACTGTTTAGTAAACACATAACCTTATGGATTTGGACATTTTTGTAGTACATAGTTAAATGAACAAATATGCTTACCAACTGCACACCAGCACTCAGAAACATTTTTTTGGGGGGGCTAGCATATATGGATATAATATATATATATATACAAATGTATATTGTAAACAACTATGTAGTAAAATTTAGTACAAAAATTCAGTAGATTCTAGAATAAGAGGAAGTGGCTTCCCTTGCTGTTTTGGTCAAGCAATGGGCATTGCATAGGTCAACCAAATTTATGACAAAGGCCCCCCTTTAAATGGAATGCCAGGGCCACACAGAATGTTGCAAATCTATCTTCGATCGCAACCCCGCAGCTGTGACAAAAAGGGTTTCGTAGGTGAACATGCTGCTGCAATGAACAAGTGCCGAAGTGTTGGAACGGTTGTCAACCCTGCCCAGCCACAGCCTGAGCAGGCGCTTTGGCTTTGGCTCCGGGCTTTCCAGGACCCTTCCCAGTGCTCTTGCCTGTCTCCTCGCAACATGCGAGCTCTCAGGCCATTGGGTGGTTGGTCGCTTCGGCTTTGGCTACTCCTAGTTCCTTTGATGGGTGTGACATGGGCAAAATCTATGAAGTTCCAGGGTGTTCAATGGTATTACTGCACTGTTCCCCCCTAAATGGCACAAACTCCTGAAAACACCACCGTCACCACCCTTCGGTTGTACTGGTGTTGATGTGCATTTGTTGATGTGCATTCAAAGTACGCCAAAATTGCTGTGTGGTCTCTGGCACGAGATTTTGTTCTGGACAGGCCCCAAAGGAAGAGTGCCCTCCCTTCCCTGAATCAATCGGGGAGTTCAGTTATGTCTGCATGTTACAAATCTTACATGCAAATTTACACCATGTATAAATTCATTGGAACTCAAAATGTGATCGATTATGATCCATTCTCTTGAGACCTCTATACGCAGTTGACTGCTTTCCACCCTTTGGGCCTTTTTGTTCAGAACACCTCTGACCCACGTCCTGAGCCGCCGCCGGTCCATGTCGGGCCGCCCGCTGCGAACGGAGGATCACCGTGACGCCATCGCGGAGCTCCTTCGAACGGGGGATGGGTGGGATGTGTGTCCGGCCGAGCCCCCTGGCGTCAAGTCGAGTGAACGGACTTCATTTCTGAAAGGGTGCCGTCTAACTCATCATAGCATCACTCTAGCAGCTCTAGCATAGTCCCAGCTGCCCTAATACTCATCCCTAATTCTGCCACTCCAAACATGTGTTCTATAATGGTGGAAACACCTTGTTTTAGACATGGGTGCTGGGGGGATGTAGCCAGGGGACGAAAGCCAGCCCTCGTAGAGACAGGGAACATATTCTTTTTGGGGACCTCGCTAAATAGCACTCCTTTGTCTTCCCCAAGCCCGTGACAAAACGATTGATAAGGGCGTCTCGATGCGTTTACGTGGACCCTACGGCGGAGCAGTTGAGGTCTTCATAGCGGTAACACGCCTGCTTGCTGGCCGCTGTCTTTACAGCTGACCGTGTCCATGTTTGCTAGGGAAGAATCATACCCACAACTAGACCGACGCCTGGCCACTTTGTGATGCTAATGATAAACCTTTTTGG